TTAAAACCAAGTCCACCCTCCTGCTTAGTTAATTGTAGCTTCTTCCACGCTACCCAAGGAATTCCACGATGATCTTCATTTTTCTCCCACCAAAAACGAGAGATGACACTAGTAATCTCATCCACAACTGTAAGTGGAATCTTAAAACAAGACATAGAGTAAACAGGCATAGAGATGGCCACAGATTTTAGCTAGATTTCTTTCCCAGCAGGAGACAGGAACTTTGATTTCCAAGACGAAGTTCTTTTCTTTACTGCGTCAACAATATAGTTGAACATTTCTGTCTTCTTACGGCCAAACTGTTCCGGCAATCCTAAATACTTTCCTCCACCACCTTGGTTCTGAATACCAAGAGTATTCTTGAGACGATTTTGTAAACTTCCAGGGATCCGTGAACCAAAGGTAATCATAGACTTAGTTTGGTTTATCATTTGACCCGAGTTCTGCTCATACAACTGGAAAATGCGTTTAAGAGCTTTACAATTCCTGATATTTGCTTGACAGAAGAAGAGGGAATCATCTGCAAACAAAAGATGAGTGATCGGCGGAACTCCATTTCCAATTTTGATGCCTTTGATCTTGCCTTTCTGAGCTCCAGACTTAATAAGATGACTTAATACATCTGCACAGAGGATGAAGAGGTATGGGGACAAGGGGTCACCCTGTCTCAAACCACGTTCTGGTACAATTAAACCTTGGGGATTGCCATTGATCAAGACTGAGTATGAAACAGTTGTGACTGTAGCCATAGTCCATCGGATCTAGGTTTCAGAGAAACCAAAAGCTCGTAAAGTTGCTTCCAAAAAGGCCCATTCAACCCGATCATAAGCCTTACTGACATCCGTTTTAATCGCCATGTACGTCTGAGAAACACGTTTTCTAACTTTGAGAGAATGCATTAGCTCATTCGCTATCAACACATTATCAGAGACCATCCTTCCAGGGATGAAAGCAGCTTGTTCTTCAGAGACAATCTCGTTAAGGAAACCCTTAAGACGTAGAACCATCAGTTTGGAGATTATCTTGTAGAGAACATTACAAAGACCAATAGGTCTATAGTCCGATAACGTGACCGGTTTTCCAATCTTGGGGATCATACAGATGTTCGTGTGGTTGACTCCAGCTTTCATAAGACCAGTAGAAAAGAATCGCTTAACCTCTTTGATGACATCTTCCCCGACAATATCCCAACATTGTTGATAAAATCTTGCGGTAAAGCCATCTGGGCCAGGGCCTTTATCAGCTCCTATAGAACAAACAGCATCATATATCTCCTTATCAGAGAAATATTTTGTTAAACTGACATTGATATCATCGGAGACTGATTGAGTAAAGCCTGAAAAAATATCCATGTTGACAGGTTGATGATTACTGGTGTAGATCTTTTTGAAAAAAACTTCAGCGTGTCTACCCACAGCTCTGTCCCCTTTGAAAATTTGACCGGTATCATCTTGAATGATGTGAATTCTGTTCCTAGAGAAACGAGCTTTAGTGCAGGCTTGGTAAAACCGAGTATTGCGATCACCTTCTTTTAACCATGCATTTCTGCTTTTTTGCTTCCAATACACTTCCTCATCTCTGTAAGCATTCACCAGTTCTCTTTGGATATCGGGGATCCTTTGACGATGAACACCTGAAGATAAAAGTGCATTTTCCAGTTCCAGTTTCAGTTCTTCAATCTTCTTGGCCGAGTTAAGTTTAGAGTTCCTTCTACAAAGAGCTAAAGATTTTCTGCATTCTCTTATTTGATCGGTAATTGATCTTTCTGCAGAAAGATTTGGTGAGTTCCATCCTCTTGCAACATAGGTTTTAAAATCTTGTTGTTCGAGTAGTCTCTTATCAAAGTGGAAACGCTTGTGACCACCAGGAGAGACGAAGGCAATGTGAGTGATAACAGGTCGATGATCTGAACCATAAAGACCTTGAAACTCAGCTTCAGAAGCAGGATAACTCGCCAACCATTCAGAGTTGACAGCAACTCTGTCTAAACATTCTTTAACAGTGTGATTATACCTCTTTCCAACCCAAGAGAATCTGTCACCGCGAAATCTCAAGTCATGGAGATCACATGAGTTATATAAGTTTCGAAAATCTTGGAAGCTCCATTCCCCTCTCACTTGTCCTCCAATCTTTTCCTCATTAGACAAAATCTCACTGAAATCTCCTACTAACATCCAAGGACCGGATCTGGAAGTTCCAATTCTTTCTAGTCTCTCCCATAGTTCATGTCGATGTTGCTGAACAGGGTGACCATACACACAAGACAAAAAGAACTCCATTCCATTAAACTGAACAAACAAATCGATTAACCTTACATCTTCATAAAGACTAGACACCTGAACATCATCCTTCCAGAAGACTGCTAAGCCTCCACTTCGACCCAAAGGAGGAACACAAATAACATTAAAATAACCTAAAGACACTGAAACATCCCTAACTACATCTGAGACATTCAAAGTTTCAACTAAAAAGAAGACATCTGGACTGAACTTGCGACACAAATCCTTCAAACACAGCTCCGACAAAGACCCTCTCACCCCTCTGCAATTCCAGGAGCATATCTTCATGGGGGAAACAATGAGGGTACCGGGCCCCCATGCCTCTGTCTATTCCTTGGTTGATCGAACATGAGTCTTGAGATTCATCATCACAAGCTCTTTTCTTGACCAGGCACACGTCCGCCTGACCACTTTGATTAGGAAACTGCAGCATTTCCTCTATTTCTTGACGTTTCCTCTTGTTGAAACCCACACCATCTGTAGCATTCCTTCCAAACCCGTCAAAAGATTCATCAGAATGAAACTTTCCTTTTGCCCTCCTGATTTCCTGTAGTCGAAGTTCCTCTGCGTGAAGAGAAGCATCTTCAGAAGAGTGAATCAAACCTGCACCTTCATTGACTCCACTCGCAGCTTGAGAGTCTGAGGGACGAACTGGATCTGGAGTTGTTTGCTGTGGAGGAGCTTTCTGAACAATCCCATCTCCCAAGTTTGGATCATTACCACCATCATCATCATCATCTCCCTCTGACCCCGAAAATGGATCTTCACCATCTTCCTGAAGTGGACATTTCTTCCTCTCATGAGAGAGCATTCCACATCTCTTACGAAAGTTTCGCAGCCTCTCGTACTTGAATTGAATCACCGTGTTAACACCAGCTTCAAATTGAAAGTTCCTTTGGAAACGGAGAGGATTGTCAATGTTCCAGAGAACACGGACTCGAACATAGTCAACTCTGGTTGAATTTCGTCAAAGTCGACCCCAACCACCTGTCCAAAGAGGTCTCCGATAAAGGCTATGGTTGGTCTGGAAAGGAATTGAAGAGGGATCCCTCGGATCTGAATCCAGAAGGAAATCACTTTGCTTGCATCTTCAGGAAGATTTGGTGACCAGCGGTGCACAGTAACCATCCAATCTGCGAAAGACCAGGGAGTACGACGGAGAACCAGATTCATAGTTTCCTCTGATTGGAACATGAATTGGATTTGATTATGACCGATGATTCGCCCCGAAGTAGCATTATCGAGACCCCACAGACGGGGCATTTGGGAAATCATGGCACGGAGATTCTGTTTCCTCGGGTTAAGAGGAATCACCACCAGGGAGAATTGGTTATTGACCACCACATGATTAATGATTTCCGGAGGAAGAGCCACCGGTTCATCATTGATTCCGAGGTTAATATTTTGCATCCTTTGACGGAGATTCTCACTCATTTTTGAAATTGTTTGAAAGATAAAAGATTTGTGAGAAGTATGAAGTTGTAGAGGATACCCGAATCGCATTATATAATGACATAGCCATGGCGGTTTCCAATCGTGCAAAAGGATGATGCACAAAGAGTGGAGGAAACCGCAAGAGAACGTGATCCAATTTGGGAAATCGGAAGACGTGGGCCGCGGAGAGAAACCGGCACGATGTCGCCGAGAAAATTGCAGAGACGTGGTCGGACACAAACTCTCAAGGAGAGAAAAGTAACCGTTAGAAATTGCCCTCAAAGACATTTTTTTCCTAAATAGTTAAATATTTTCCAGGTTATCTGTTTATTGAGTTAAAATAAAAACAAAAAAGATTATATCAAAAAATTTGGTTGTTTTTATAGGTACATTACATGGTCTAGATTTTGATATATAATAAGGACGTCTATCTAATATTGGAGTAATTGTTACGGGAATGAAACGTTAATGTGTAAAAGTAACTAATTAGTCTATTATCCAGATCTTATCCAAACAAGTGATTTGTCCACATAAAACGCCTGAAAATATGTTGTGTGAACTTGATCCAAGACATTAAAATATACTATCGTCTCGTCTACTTAAATCTGCAAGTAAATAAATTAGAACATCGCATTACTCAGAAGAGTATTAATAGTATAACATCATAAGATTTTGCCGTCTTGTTAGGAAACACGAATTCATCATATAATCAGAATGGACCAACCATATCTGCGTGTGTTTACACTCATAAAATCATATATCACCATTACGAACATTGATAATTATATCTTCTTTTTTTTTGGTCAGATGACTTTTTATTGTTGTTAATAAAACAGCCATTTTTATTGTTCTTTATAAATCAGCCAGTTCAGATTTCGGGTTTTTAAAAATTTGATTGTGTATAATATGACTAGTATCATTGTTTTTTTTAAAAATTAACATCAATATCTCATCTTTTATGATTCGTTTATAATTACCGGTCGATATATTCTTGTATTTCTTAAACATAATTGGGTTCATCGATAAGAACATATGCCGACTAACATTGTATGATTAAAGACAACGCATCATGTCTCTCCATCTATACGAATAATCCCAATAGAAGCCACATGATTAACAAATAATTAGATTAATCCATTGTTAGCTACTCAATAACAAGATTAGCCCCTCGTTGACGAAATAATAATGCTCTTCATTCTTCTTTTTTTTTTTTCAAATAACAGAGAGAAGATAAAAAAAAAATCTAAGGACTATAAAAAATGAATTAAGCTGACAAGATGTAAGAAATTATTAAAAGAAATACCGAGTCAATTTTCTTATTTGGTGTCCCAAAATTTCAATACAATCTTTAATTAACACTCTCTTTTATAATAATCACTACTTGTCCAAATTCGTAGCCGCAACAATAAAAGAAAAAGAAGGAAATATAAACTGGAAATGTGAATCCAGAAACTAAAAAATAAATAAAAAACAACCCCTTAAAATTTTGATTCAAGCCCTCGTATTTTCAATTTAATAAAAAAACATTTAGTCTTCGATCCCTCTAATTTTAAAAATAGTATTTCGCACCCTACTCAGATCTCTCCCTTTCAAAGTCCTCCCAGCACCTTCGTGAACCGAAAACGACGCCATCCTCCGACTAGCAAGCAATTCATGCGGCGGAATCCGCCGTGTTCCTCCGCCGCATGAAGCAATCTCGTCACCGTCGACTTCCTCGTTCGAAACTTGCCTACGTCGACTCTCTTCTCCGAGGATCTTCGACCAATCCGGGACGTTGACCGGAACCGAAGACGCAGCTGAACCGGAAAATGTCTCCGAAACCGAACCACCAAGACTTTTCCGGTTAACTCCGGTTCGACTTGAGTTAATTGTAAGGTCAGAAAAACTGAAACCGGGAGCAGAATCTGAACCGGTATTGTAAAGATCCCACTCGTCGAGCTCGAAATCGGAAGCGGAAGTGACGTTTTGTTCGGTGGAGAAGAAACGGTGGCTTACCCGTGGATAGTAGCATTTGCTCGTCGCCATTTCAAAGAGGAAGAAGAAGAAGTTAATTAATCAACTTTTCTTTCGTTAATTTTTTTGTTTGTTTGAGTTTTTAAGATTTTCTTTCTCTTTTGGCTTTGGTTTGCTCTGGTTTTTATATAGAAGAGAAAGGTCAATGGATAGACTCAACCTCCTCCTCGTGCGTGTTAATTTTTGTTCGCCCACCGTTACACACGAAATTACAGAAATGTCCTTGGAAATTTCGTAGAAATTTAACTTTTTTTCCCGATTTATCCAAACGAAACGATGATTGTCAAAAGCTTTTTATTCTACACGGAAACCCATAAACACAAGGGGCGTATGAGTTTTTTTGTTTATTTTTTTGTTTATTTTTTTGCTTTTTTTTTATAATTATAGTGTACATACTTGAATCATGTGTTCGTAGAACGAACTTTTTCAACTTTAATCGCACTTAAATGGACCAGAGTTAAAAAGTTTGACTTCATCGACACATTTTGAAAAAAATGAAAAAGAACATTTTAAGATGTATAATGAGTTTAACGAATGGTACTAATAATTTACTAATTTTGTCTACTCTGTCAATTATTTCCAAATTAATGAAGAAGATAATATCTTTTGACGAGGGCCCATTAGCTTCTACTTCGTCATCCAAGTCTAGTCACTAAGCCCAATCTAATACTCAACACTTAGCTCATTCGTGAGTCTTCATCTTTATCTGGAAACAACACCATAAGTATGTTGATGGAAAATTGGAAATGTAATACACTAATACATCAAAGATTCTAATTCGATTACTGCCTACAAATTATTAAAATTGTTGTTTATTTTGTAAGCTATCCTTAAAGAAGAAATAACTGATCTTTATTAATTTTCAAGACTTTCAAGCTAATACGTTTATGGAAATGAGTAAACAAATTTGCTTGGAGAAAGACTGTGAAAACAGAGGACATTTACATGTGTTTATCTAAAGACATGTCACGTAATCTTTATCTTCAGCACACGTCTTGTCAATAATCTTTGAAGTAAGAGGGTAAAACTGTAACTTTAGAATTTAGAGATACGACAAAGTACGTATTGTTGTACGATGTTTTATGCATTAAGTAATTTTCTAGAAAAAGGACAAAAAATAAGATAAAATTAGGGACAATAAAGTGGTCCCAAAAAGACACGTGGCATATTCATCGTCGTGAACCACGTGGAGAGATGAGCTTTCGTGTACGACTCGTGGCGTGAAGGCACGTGGTTGCTTCCATTTCATTGGTGGAGAGCGACGTCGTTTCTCAGGTTCTTCTGCGTAACTACAAAAACTTTTCCTCATCTCTTTGATAACTTCACTAGACGACAAAATAGTTCGTCGGGGAATGCAAAAACGTTTACATTATCTGGAAACGGCATGGTCTGCGCATCTCTACGATAGAAACGATAGAGCATATTTACGCAAACGCGTCTGCCAAATTTGCCCAGTTGCTTTTACGCCATTTCTTACATTCAGATAAGGGCCGGGTCAATGTTACGACCTGCAAACCGAACTCACTAATTACTGGGCCATGTATAATATTTATTACATAATTTTAATTTACACCTATAAACAAGATTAGCTAGCTGTCCACGGCACGCGGATATAATTATTTTAAAATTATATATAAAATTATTTTTGAATTTATAGATAATTAGATTGTACAATTATTCATTTTTAAATTTTGGTACTCTTTATATTTTTAGTTAATTATTTTGAAATTAAAATTGTTAAATTGTTAATACTCTCTACAAATATTCACTATAAGTTGTTGATATAAAATTTATATTTGATCGGTGTTTAATTAATCTAAATTCATTATATATAACACAAAACGTAAAGTAAAAATAGAAAAAATAAATGGTATTAGATCCTTAATAAAAGCAACATTAATAAGTTTTCTTTTTTAGAATATGCTTTAAGCTTGAGCGTCCAGAATAATCTTTTTGAAGTAGTGAACTTCGAGGAATAGAAGGTCCAACAAAATTTTACTGCATTTAAAAGCTATTGTAATAATCCAAACATCATGCACTTGGATGACCTTCACAAACATCAACACATAGATAATCACAGGTTCATCACAATTAAGTAAAGACTCTAAAAAAATACTCCGAGTAATCACCATTTAGGTGTACTTGTAGACGAAGGCCGCTACACATTATTAGAACCCTTGAAATTGATATCATGAATAAACATGATAAAAATTACTCAAAAATAGATTAAACTATTTAAAATAACATAAATCAAACCTCTCGTATGCAAGTTCGAAAAACACATTCCCACAATGACGGTTTCGTTTTAAGGAAGAGTAGGAAACAAAATTTTCAACATCTACTATTTGACCAATTAAATCTACAAAGAAAATAGTCATTGTTTTTTATAAAAAAGATTAAATATGAATTATTATAAAAGGTTATATGGAAACAAAGTGCCAATAGAAATCGAAGTGTCCACTAATCCGTTTTTGATGGTATCAAATTTTATTAAGTTAAAAAATTCCTCACTACTCCGAGAAGTAATTTTATGAAAAACGATTGTATCTTTTCAACGAATCTTGAAAAAGTGCAATGTGTATCTGAACACTTCAACCACCAGGATAAGATCAGAGTCAACCAAAAGAACCCAATCACCTTGCGCCGGCATAAACCATATCTTTTTATGAATCTAAGTTTTGTTTTAGAGTTATCATTATAACCAAATATATATTTATTTAAAATGAATATGACATTATGAAAAATGATAAAAATGAATGATTATACACATTAGTCTTTATTGTATACATTTATATTTCTAAAAAATGTAGAACAATTCTTTTAATCCACTTGTAATTTAAGATGATATCAAAGTTTGCAACCATCAGTATGGTAGAATAATTTAAAAAAAAATAGTATAGCAATTCCCAAATATATAAAAGAAATACTAAACCACATTAGTGATTCATATTTTTCTTCTTTTTTTCATTGTCACCATCCTCATATCCCTTACTTTCTTTAAATTTTCCAATTTTTATTAATATTCCTCTTCATCTTCTTTTTTTAATTTTATTTTTATTCTTTATCTTCACTTTTTTCTACGTTGTCTACATCATCATCCGTATGTCTTCTTTTTCAATTTTTTTTCTTCATCTTCCTTTTTTTTTGATATGTGCATGTTCGTGTT